AAGCTCCCCAACACCATGTTGGTGAGGTATGATTTTTCAATGCTCAGACCGGCTATCAGGTGTTTACTCACCTGCCTCTTGCGTCGCCCTCAAATAAAAAGTAAAGAAGAATCTACTTCAAAGATTACAGTGAAAACCAATCAAACCTGAAGATCTGCTCCACTGCCTGCATAAAACAATAAGATACAAAATGGAAATTTATAAATATGATTGATGATTGTTCGGTTCCACGTAAGTGATTGGCCTCTAGAACGGATTGGCATTGTGGAAGGAAATAGACATAGTGTAGACATCTTGTGTACGAAAAAGTATGAAAACAAAAAAATACTTTTTTATAATGCATATATGTAAAGGTGTGAACTTTCTAGAAGTTAGACTCTTTGTCAAACCCTATCAAATGTATGACCTTGAGTCTGTGATGACCGCCTTTTATAACCAGGTACGTAACCAAGAGTGCCTAAGAGTACTCCACAAAACGGAAAAGAATGTACGGTTAGGGAGGAAAAAATTATGTAGAGTACGAGGGTCAAGTACATTTGTGTGGTTTGATGTAGGTATGCATGATATATTGAAGCAATATTTCGTCAGTTCATCCAGGTAACGAATTGGTCTGCACCTAAGAAGTGTGTAAGTCCTATTACTCACTAGTATTATGAATGATTAATCAGTGTAAGAAAAGTTTGTAGTCATTTTCCCCGCGGTCTGATGTGGTCCATTAGCTAAGCTCGCAGTGTAGCATTCAGTAGAGTAGAAGTTCGAGTGCGTGTGGGGTATACGCTTTTGTTCACAAAACCCCATTGCATACGATTTTTGTTGCCCGTAAGTCGCTCAAAAAATGACAAGAGGACAGATTGATATGTCAAAGTGCCATTTGGAACAGTACAAGTTCTTTGTACATTAGTAATAATACCATAGAAATACTACAAGTTTGGTTGATTTCAATTTTACGTTATATTTAAGCCAACAAGAAAAATATAAGTTATTAACATAACATGTATTTTTATAACGCTAGTGTTAAGTTCCAGAATTTTGTATGGACCACTAATAACAATCGATTTAGAGTGAGCATAGCCATGATAGTCATATAGTCAGTTCGATGTTATGATTACTTAACAGTTCTCTTATAAGTTGTGTTTAAAATTAGGTATGTGGGATCAATGCAGCTAATATAGTAACTTGCAGGTAACGTATTGTACTATATCTTCACGGTTATTGATTCTGGGATGTCAGAAATTAAAGAAAAATCTGAATGGTGCCAATAAAACTGGGTTATACGATCACATCAAAAAGCATGCTGCAGGAAAACTGATTAACTTATTGCATAATTTTTCTAAACATGAAAAAATGATGAGAACCTAGGCTGTTACATGCTCACACGTTTTCCACTGAACTACTGAGTCCGGGTAGGTAGAAGGATTACGTCAAGGTGATCCGCTCGGAATCCACACACGATAACAGTCAATGATCATTTTTAGTCTTGAGCTTCAGCAACATGAAACTACAGACCGCCACCAATACCGTCAATATAAACAGATAATAATCCACCAAAGATTCTTATCGGGAACTTCCCTTCTTGGATGAGAAGCTTACTGCTGAAGTACATTGTCTGTATTTGAAGTTAGGTCTGAGAAAGTCACACCTGGAGCAAAACTGTGATCAGCTTATCAGAATTTTCTACAAGTGACGACGACAGTTTAATAAGATGATGTTCCAGCTTTCGAATTATTAAAATAGTACGTCTATGGGGAAGAAACTTTGCTATACCAGTACTTCATACTTTTATCACTCCTTAGGAAATATCATTGTAAATTATAATGAACTATACTTAAAATGAATGCGGAATCTTCGCTAGTCTGCAGACGTTATCAACCCGGTACAAAATGATAAGTATTAACAGTAAGATAAGTACACACTTTGGAGAGGGATTTTTAACAAAATTGATAACAACACAAAATAATCAGATACATATAGGATATATGAGTAAAAAAATACCATGATGTAGTATATCCCTATTGACTATGAAAGCTCCGTAAAAAGACAAATTTCACGAGTAAACAGCTGTTGATAGTACGTAAATTAATGGCACATTCACAATCCCAATTCAATTGAACAAATGAATCATTATATGCTTTTCGGTATGTAAAGTCCTACATGCTTTTAATAGAATGCAACGTAGCAGCATAATGTTTAAACACACAATCAACTACAGCTTCAAATATAGCTCCATCAATCTCTAATTTTATTAACGTTAACTGGGTGCAGTAAATAGTTAACCACCTACAGTAGTATCTTGATACATCACTTATTAAATACCGAGCTCTTTGGATCCTTAAGTTTCGGTTTGATATTCTTTGTAATTTTTTTTAATAGTCACTTATTTATATGTATGTGTCGAAATACGGTGAATCTGTGACAACGTTGGTGTGATCAGTCATAACTATGAGTTTAAATTTCCATCTGTTTACGAAATGTTTGATCAGTACCTTTTCTAAGCTAAAATCAAAACCGCGCTATACCAGGTAAGTGAGTCCTCAAACAACGCAGAATTCGTTTGTTATCAAAGAGATAAGAAAATCCTCATAAGTCAAGAGAGCCTTTCTATACGAAAACTATGTAACAAATCGATCATATTAGATAAAAACAACCAAGAACGATGCTTCGATGCGGTGGCAGACAAAGTGCGTGACTGAGTAAAACCAACTTATACAGTCCGTATAATATTACAAGGTAGATGCAACATCTCAACCGTGATTACAACTGCGCAGTAATCATCTTGTAGAAGACATAGGGAGTGAGCTAACCAAATACAGTTACTCTGGTCCTAGAATGCAATAAATGTATATTGTTACCGGGGTACACTCACCATAGGCTAGCTCATAACCACTTGACATTAACACCTACAAATAGAACAGGTATCTGAGAAGGAAAATGAGATATTTCATAACACAGAAGTCCTAGTATCCTTAATGTGGCGGGTATGTTAATAATTAAGTGTGAATCGTGATATGTGAAACGACAAAGATGCCTCACTACCTAAATTTAGTTAATATCGTTTCAAAAGCTAATGACATTGACACCGTGCGCTGAAAACCGCTTACTTTGATCGGATTTTTTTACCTATTTTCCTCATAATCCATGCTACATTATTCCTCTGTTTGGTTATTCGAATACAATGAAAACCTTCACGCTACTAGCATAAATTTGTTGAGTGAATCACTAGTTCACAGATAAAGTAATTTTCTGATGCAAGCATTTTGAGTAATTATGTAATATGCGTCTTAGAAAGCCAGAAATTTCTGGTTTTGATTCTTAATGTTATATGCCTTCCAGAGCCGGACGGAATTAATACGTACATTTTTGGAATATGATTGTTCACATTTATTACGAATATCCGTCCCTCACAGTATTTTAGCAATGTACGTGTATTCTCGAGATAGTGAATATCATGAAAATCTCACTTGTTTCTGTTTTAATGGTATATAGTATAGACTGATATTTTGGGAAGCCTTACCAGCCACGCTAGACATATTTTGTTCACATGAGTTTGTGAATTAGACAGTGCAGTACCACTAATTACTATCCACATGATCTGTTAAACTGAATGTGCACTATATATTGTTTTCTCTTTCAAAACAGTGCAAATGATACATACCTTCTTTCCTTATCAACATATCCAAATAAAGACAATGAGAGTCAAAATGAATTTTCCGAAGGGCAGTATGTTGTACAGTTTTGATTTTTTTTCAGGAAGTCAATGAATCGACTATGTAATTTGTCATGAAAAACTCCAGCTAAGAAACCACTAATTACTGTACGAAAATTCCCTAGAGTTAAAATTGCCCATGAAACCTCTTGGGGCAGTAAATTTCTGATAGCGAGTTCCAAAAACTCCAGATCGTGTGCATGCCCTTTAGCAGGGTCAATGTCTTTGAACTCCAGTACATTCAAAATGATTAAACTAGGAACAGGTTTAATTTCTTTGAAATTCGCGTTCACAGCTTTCGGTTGTAATTTCAGATTTTGTCTACCAAATTTTGTGACAGAGTCATGGGAGTCGGATTAATGACTCACGACAACGTTTGATGAGATAAATGTTCTCCATCTACGACAGGGTTAAATTTTGTCTTACTTTGGGACTTTTGCAGAGTAATATGCAACGCATAATGTGTATTAACCAAGGAATTTGCAGCCAGAAGGGAAATAATTTTTGGCTAGCTCCCTTGCCTTTCATTGTCTTCGCGTTATCCATTTCACATTAGTCGCAAAATCCACATCAGTACTACCCGGGACTATAAGGCTTTGTCTGGGTAATCAGTCTCTACTGCAGCAACTTGGCCACCAGCATCTAATGGTGTTTCACTCGTTAATTGTTTTGAGATATAAGTGTCCATTGCATATCGGATGTTTGGCATGTGCCGTAACAGCACACACGACAGTGACACATTCTTTGCTATCAGTACCCATGTTACCGGTACAGCACTCGTCAAACTCTTTGTTAGCCAACTCCAGAAGGCTAGTTGCCTCCTGAATGAGTATTGCTTTGCTCGAACAACAAGACATACAAGTCCTACCGGATTTAATCTTTGAACACCTTTTATAGGGAGTGGGATATAAGCGATTGCATATCATATGGAACCACTTCATACATTCATCATAATGTATTCCTCTCACAGAGAATAAGCAATAAGGCTGTTCACATTTTTTATTAGGGCCGATAATCTTAAAAATCAACCAAAAATAGTAACACGAAGATGGATATGTGAAAAAATTTCAAACTTTAAACGAATAAACCAGGTCAAAATCGACCGAGTATGACTTGATGCAATAAATGCACGAAAGTAAAGTCAGTACACAGGAGTTCAATACCATTCTAACTGGAATAAATTCAATTAAAGTGTGAACAGTGGTTCCGATGCGTAATTCAGCATCAAAACAGTGAATTTAACTCAAGGAGGAATAATACCACTTTTATTTTTAAATGGCGCGCTCAATTTAAATATAATCGAGTCATTTAAATAATATAACCAAACTCATTAAAGTAATTCTTGTCGTAGTTCAAAAGTACTGTGGAACAATAGGAAGCACGCGCTTTGCGGTTTGAACCAACGCACTAGCAACATATTGGATATTGGATGTCATGGGAATTGGCATTGGGCTCAAGGTCTGGGCGCGGCGTTTCGGAGCTTAGACGTGTGGTGATACACGAGGCTACTTTTACACAAACAAGCTTAGAGTTTTTGGCTTCTACTTGAACGTCGTACGGTATGGCTTTTTTGTGTGTTGAACTATTCTCAGTTGTGCAATATTTTCGGCTAGCCTAACGAAATTATATTTAGTTGATTGTACGCGGTCGACAACAGTATTTGTTTTAATAGTCTTTGTAAAACTATTAACCCTTGTCGTCTTGCCTTCGTGTTTGCACACCCATTTTCACACAGTTACTCATCGACTAGAACTAGTAAGTTAGGTCTTTCGATTCACGATGCGGTTGCCTTAAACGCGAATTAATGAGCTCCGATCAATGGCGCTAACAAATCCATTCATAAAAATACTTAGTCTGAGAGTTATGAAGAATCAAGATATCAATAGGCTCTCGAATCGTCATATGTTTCCTTTCTTCCTGTTGTAGTGAGTTCTCATTTTCTTCTATAAAACAAATTCCTCTAATATTCCTTCAGCATTGCTCGTCACTTACTGTTGTCGACGTTTTACGTAGTTGCTTCATTGTCTCACTGACTCATCTATTTTTCCCTAAGTTTTAAATAATATACCTACCTTTCCCTACAGCCATTTTCGGTTTTCTATTGTTGTTGCCACTCATTATTGTCTTATTGCTATAGGATTTAGTGCCTTAATTATGACCTTTATGGCCACTGCTTCGTATTAGGCCCTACGTTACTTGTCGGTGAGACTATAATTTACGAACGACCTTTGAGCGGCGCGGAAGTGACCATTAGAGTGGACACCTACTCATTAGGACTTAATGGAGGTTATAAAGCAGTTAGAATTCTCATTTACAATTGGTGGTTAGGGTTGAAAAATATATTAAGGGTTCTCATCACGAACTGACATCAGCTATAATGCCAAGATTCTATTTAGCCAAATGTATGGGTGGATTTCGCCCCAAAATTTGTGACTCGTTATTTTATATCTGATTGGTTCGTCGGTAAATTATAGTCTCGCCGTAGCAGTGGTTAGAGATCCTGTCTGTAAGATTGGAAGATCGATAAAGGAAGCATATATCCACTTAATATCCATCCATTTTTTACGTGTATTCCTGTTTCAATGTTGCACTTTTATTACGTTATGCCTAGTCAGTCAAGACTATAATTTACTGACGACCTTTGAGCGACGCCAGTGACCTTGACAATTTAGCAACCCAGGATTAAGTGATGTCTGTAATTTAGTATGAGGAATTAGGATTAAGAAGTAGTTAGGGTTTTCATCACGAACTGACATCAGCTATAATGCCAGTGCTATTTGGCCATATGAATAAATACATTTCGCGTCAAAATCGAAGACCTGCTACCTTAAATCTGATTGGTTCGCCCGTAAATTATATTTCTACCCGCTTTTGTTACATTTAAGCTTAATATTCATTTAAACGTGGTTAGGACTTCCAGGACAGTAGCTGCATAAGCGTGGCCGTGTGTGAACATCTCGAGAGAATAGACTTTCCACCCTCGACCATACAAGGACATTTAGGAGCAAAGCGTTCTCCGGGAGTGGGTTTGAGCGATTCTACGTTAAAACATCCATTTACTGAAAATGACGTCATCTAGAATCTTACACCACAGATATGCTGACTGCACGTACTCTATGCATGTCAGTAAACCACCATGTATTAACCTACGGGCTACATACAGTTTAGGTACCTGACAATACCATCTGACAGCTGATTTCACCTCAAATAAAACTTTTGGATGATACCTAGTCTCACCAACTACTGTTTGTTTGTAACACTATTTTTGGTGCTCAGCTGTAACCAAGTTTTTACAAAATGGTATAATTATAGCTTCACGTTAAATAACCATAGTCAGTTTGCTTTGTGAACGTTATGCAGCAAAAATATGGTCCATAACGTTAATATCTAAAGTCCTTACCAGTTACCAGAGTGGTTTGTCACTTTTCATGTTTGTTTACCTATACTTCCTTCTGAAGTTAATACGTCATTAATAAACCTGAAAATCGGAAAACAGCACCTATCCATCTTTTAAATTTGTTTTACACAAACAACTTAGCCATCTTATCTAGTCTATATTTTATTTTTAGTCGCGTCACTCAGTAAAGTTTGTCATTAAAACTACATTTGACTCCGTTGATCAGTAGTTAAAGATGCTGAATGACATGGCTTAAAACCGATCACAATAGCATAGATGCATTCACTCCCTGTCTATTCCTAGATCCTGGGTTTCAGAATTACTTTGGACTGTTTATTCTGTGGTGGTCGGTATTCGATATAATCCTCAAACTTCGTATACAGTTCGTCGTGATAACCGTTCTATATAACGTACCAACGATATATTAATCAGAAGGCAAACACGAAGTGTTGATTACGTTTATTATGAGACCACACACATATATCCAAATGTACAGATGTGTTAAACAAGCATAGAAGAGTTGTGACGAAAGGCAAGCGAGCGAGCGGGAGCCAGAGCAAGAGCGTGACGAGACCGTGCGAGCGAGTGAGTGATTGCGAAAATGTCAATTTAGTGACAGCACGAACAAGATTAATAATTCCACATTCGGTCATAATATTGATAATAATGTAATAATAAGCATACAATGATAATTTGAATCGTAATGGAACAATCCGACAAATGGATCAATGAGAATAGTTGACATGAGGACAAAGTATCGATAAGATAATACGACTTGAGCATGTCCATGTCATGTTGCACAGGCTGTGCTGATTGCGTCGGATTGGAGATTGCGCTGGCTTCGCTGAATATGTTCGTCGAACGTATAGAGTGCAGAAGTGCCTTCATCGACGTGGCTTGCTGCGTTGCGTTCGTCGTCGGCGGGCTTACCAATGAAGTGGCCCATGAATCTGACTCCAAGATCGTATAAATGATCGTTATCGCTTATTCTCGTTTATCATCGTCGACTTAGATCGCGTTAGTCCATAACGGAATTAAATAAGTCAATTAACGAGAATGGCATTTGAATACATATATTTTGTATATGAAGTGAATGAAACAGAGCCAAGCAAAATGACGCACAGGGAGGATGGCTGGGAAGCCAACTCCATTTTAATTAAGCGTTACTCAGTATTTATAGGCAGACAAAATAAGCTACAGACATACAATGAATCATGTGACATGAAATGTACACTCATATACGCTCATATAAAAAACAGTCAAGACTGACAAGCGAATAATTGACAAGGTCAAAATATGGCTCAAGTAAAATGAATAAAATAGGATGTCCGGAAGTTAGAATAAGGTACATGGGCTTGCCATAATAACTGACACTACAATTCCATGATCTATTCCTAATTTTTCCACCACCACTTCGGTATTCATCTTGATAATTTCATCCCTCTGTGCTGATATGCTGTGACAACTAGAACCAACGCTGATGTATGCCAGATTCTACGTTATTCATGACGCGTTGGTCTGTTGGATTCACACGTCACTCAAAGGTGTATCAAAGAAGTAAATGAACCTCCTGTAGACTGTTACAACACAGTCGAGTCAGATTTTATAGTAAACTGTCATATGAACTGACAATATTAAGTGGTATTCGTAAGTGCCGCAAGATTTGTCCCAGGCATTTCGAAAATAACAGTCTGACTTCAGTAATAAATTTATCAGACTCACTTATCAACTTAGAGTATGTAGATGATATAGTTCTGTTCGACAAGAACGCTGATAAAATGCTATTTCCTAAACCCCTTGTGATCCATTTCAATTACTTGGAAATGCGTTTCTCTACCACTTTGGAACTGGTCTACATCAGCATTTCTGTCTGTAGAAAGTGAAATGATACACCATGTTAGCCGCTTATGAATTCCAATGGGTCTTTGGCTGGTGAAGTATCGACACGGATTTAAAATAAGCAACTTGATTTTCTCCAGCTTGGGTCACTCGTGGCGTAAGCGGGATTTCCATCTCACTGTGAAGGTGCAATTATACTGCAGTCCACTCTGTATTACTTGGTGACTGAAATATGCTTTATGAAAATAGAAGGTGTTCTTAAGTTGCGAATTTTTGACCATACTTCTCTTCAAAGCATTCATCACGTATCATGAAACAAGTTGGTTAGGTTGTGAAACTTCCTTGACTTAGGTGAATGGAATATGTGTTATGTATCCCTAACTCCTTCCTACCCTTTTGCTCGACGTTAGCATATATAAAAGTAAGTTGAGAGAAAGCTAAGGACATCTAAACCTTTAGTTCATAAAGCCATTGATTGTTAAGAACACTGTGTAACATGACTCGAAAGCAGTCTAAATGTCACAAATGCATTTACTGCCTATCGTTTAATTGTTGTCTAACAATCAGTACAAACTTTTGCCTAAATTCATCCGTTTGAGAACCGTACTTCCTCATTTTTAGTGTTTCTCATGGCCGTTGATACTACTGTTTTTTCGACTCAGAATTCATCTTCATTTCACTGTACCGAAGTGTTGCGTCGACTTGGAACAATACTTGTTTCCTGTTTGTTGATGGAATATATTTGTGGTCAAACGTTCGACATTGAATCCTACTAGTTTTTCTAGTCGATATGTGTCCATCGTATGCAATATTATAGTCTGTCATCGTAAGCAGTTAAATATTATGTGCGTCTAATTTTTGGGGAAATAAGATGTAACCAATATTATTCTTTTAGTTTCAGGCAATTTCGAATATACTTCTCAATTTCGCATCTCCGTGATCTTGAGACTATTATTTACAATGAAAGTTACATTTCTTTAACATTGGTACTCGATTCATCTCATAACCTCTCAGTAAACCAATGTCGTCTACTGCATCTGTAGTCCCCAATGTTTCATACCATTTGCCCAAGCCTGTTACACAGAATTTCCAGCACTTCGATTGTGGTTCTGATGGGTCAGTGTTGGGATTCAGCCATCAGTCTCCCCAAAATAATGATTATGGGCCTACTACTAATTTTATGAAGTCAGAGTCATCTATATCCGCTTCTAAACTAGTTTCCTATAACTTAGATAACGCTTTACGTCTATCATTAAAGTCATCTACAGTCCCGCTTAATGGGCATATATCAAATTATACAGAAAAACTGTCTCAACGACCTTTGTCTTTCCATGAATCGTCAGCCCCTCCTCTGGATTCAATAATCAAGCAGAAAATCCAAAGTTTACCCGGATCTTTGATCCTAGAAGATTCGGAAGAATGTAAATCCGTCAAAAAAAGTATGTCTTTTCATGAAAATATCTGACAACTGTCCACTGTTACACATTTAGTTTCAAAACCTACTGCTGAGTTTTTTTACATATTCAGGTTGGCTAAAATCTTACATCTGATTTCATTTATTCCAAAAGTGAATATTCATGTGCCTACTAATAGTTTGGTACTGTCCATCCATCTGTGAGATGCTAAATAAATCTATTATTGAGAGGAATTATATCGAGGTATAGCAATTCACTTATCGTTAAATAATGGCACCTGTATTCCACTGGTCTATTGGGTTACTCTTACTATCAGAACTATATCAGCACCCATCAATAATTTAACTCACATATTCAGAATACAGTAATCACGTGAATGTTTATTAACTGCTGCCCATTAAAACAGCATCTAGTTAAAGACGCAAATAAATTTATTGACCAATAATCCCATGATTTCTTTATTACTATTCAGAAAGCCTTTGACGTGCACATGTAGTGCCTTAGAGCCACTTTTGACGTATAAAACTTTACTAATTTTCCCACCTCTCACTAGAATTCGTTTCTTAATTTTAGTTATAATATTTAAAACAAGATACTCAAACCTTTATGTATGAAGACAAGCATATATCCCTAGTAGAAATTTCATATCTACTAAACCGTTCATTCATTATTCATTTACTAGGCTTTTTAAGGTTAAAATTACATATTTGTGGTTACTTTTTGGGGAGAAGACCAAAACTAGCTCCAAGATAAAAAAAATAAAATAATATTGGTGCCTCATCTAATCTAAATTATGAATAACAGGATCCATTAATTCCAAACGTTATCATCTCATAACGTCCATTCAAGAAATGTGGCTAAAATGGATATAAAGATATAAGAGAAATGTTTTTGGTGAGTGCTACTATCAAATATGTTTTTCGGTGGTACTGAGTTTTAATTCACTGTATGTAAATACATCTTAATCAAGTTGTTATCTCATCAAATACATCCACTCGTCCCAAAAATGTAATTCTCACTTAACTTAATCTGTAATTTTCCGTAGAGTAGTACAACTACTCTTATGGTTCATAGGTGCAGAATTAAACTGGTAATTACTTTTTTTAAACTGAGTTTGTACTGCCACATTTCATTTTCTACAACACAATGTTTTTGACAATTCAATCAGTTTTTTGAAGTGTTATAATCAAGAGAATTAATATCACCATTGTGAGTTGTTGTTCTCCGAATGTCAGTAGACATGTATGATTTCTAGGAAAGAGGTCGCGAAAACAGCTAAAATTAATGTGTTTCCTAGTTTACGTTCAAGCATTAGTTTGTTTTTTATACATATACACTGACATGCAAAAAGCACCTGGCAATAAGCTGCCTGTGAGTTATCAGCAACTTTAAGGAAAGCCATTATTTCAGGAATTCAAATGTGTTGTAGCTTAGCATAAGCAGTAAGTAGATTTCCTTGCAACCAGTCTTGTAAAACTAAATGATCAACAAGATTGTGTAATTTATTCTTTAAATTTTGATTACTATCGATTTTTGCTAACGCATATTACTTCTCGCAAAGGAGCATATGCCACTCACCAGGTTACTACTATTGATAGCTCTCAGTTTTTGGTTTATAAGTCTTTTCGAAGATTCTGGATATGACGTGAATATATATATCATAAAACATAAACCTATGACTTCCTGCTGACCACTCCCACCCATCCAGTCGGTCTAACAAACACACTCGGTCAGCTTTGAAGATCAAATAATGACATTGGTCATTACCATCTAATAACGAGTTGATCTATAGTTAGTTTTAATGAATTAAGTTGGATAATAGAATTATCTTTAGGCAATGAAATTGATTCACTTATACAAAATGTTTTCGTGTCATTATGTGAGATAAAAGAAATAAGGGAATCGATATTTTCACACGGGTACTATACTATCATTTCTTTATTTGACCTATCTTAAAGAGGGAATTTCATTAGAGGTGGGAAAGAATAGCAAAATTATCACTTACAAATTAATATTCTCTCCTCATTTTGAATGATTTAAAAAAAAATAGTTTTAGTATTTTGAGAAAATTAATATAATTGTATGTATCATGTAATTTCTTCAACTGTTCTTGTATTTAACTTCTAGGTTCTCCTGAAAATAAACTCCTATGTTCCGATGATGAACTTGATCATTTGTGTCAAACCGGTGCTCATTGTATTCCAAAAAGAGCTTTGGGATTTGGTAACTCTGGGAATACATGTTATCTTAACTCTGTACTTCAATGTATTTTGGCTACTGGACCTCTACTTGCATATATTAACCATAAACATTCAAACCCTAGTAGCTGTATCATAACTAATGGTCGGTCCAGCCTTCCAAGCTTAAATAAATCTCGGTTTTGTGTTTTATGCGGTCTTTCTCGTCTTATTAATGAACATCACTCTCAAAATGGACGTACAATTCCTTCTTACTTTGTAACAAATGTTCGAGGTAAGCAATAAACATCGGAACAAATTACATCTAATAGTGTAATATCCTTAATAAAATATAATTAATTTGTATGATACAGCCTTCCTTCGACATGCTGACAAACTCAACGACTTCACGATAGCTCTCAAAAACAGGTTCCAAACCTTACATGATCTACTGAAAGAAGAAGAAACTACTATGGAGGACAACTGAAAAGGGATCGAAAATGCACTGACTTCCACGTGTTAAGAGGTTCTAGGCCGCAAGAAGCATCATCATGAGGAATGGATCTGTATTACGACCTTGAATAAGATTCAACAAAGAAGGAACTAGAAGACAGCAATTGCCAACAGTCTATCAAGAACAGAGAAATTCAAGGTACGAGCTAGTGAAGAAGAGCACTAGAGCTGACAAGCAGAAGTGCATGGAAGACCTAGCAGTGGCAGTGGAAAAAGCTGCAAGAGACACACATTGAGGAAATCACCTTCTGTTTGGGCACCCGGGCAGTATCACACATATCAAATGAGATCTGTGTGGCGCATATGTATTTGGTGCCTCCTTGTACCAATATCTATGTGTTAAAATAAATAAAACAACTTATTCTATCCTTGTTCAATTGTAATTTAACTTAGCTTGTTGCTTTATTCACCATTTCTCTACCTTCGCCAGCTATTTGTCCCAGTCTTCGTCCTTATCAACAAGAAGATGCACATGAATTTCTACTTGGACTTTTGTCAAGAATGGAAGATAGTTCATTGGCAAGTTTTGGTAAAGTGTCTCGTAAAATATCTGAAACAAATGTCATCAGGAGGATTTTTGGTGGTATAATACGTTCAGAAGGTAAGTAAATTATTTGCAACTTTCTAATCGGTAATACACAGCGTATTCTGATTTTCTAAAGCAATAATTTCACCAGCGAATCATTTTGTAAATATTCTTGAAGGACTAGCCATTATTATTATTATTATTATTATTATTATTATTATTATTATTATTATTATTAAACATCCAATATTTATTGTTGTATTCCAGTGACATGTCATTCTTGCCTCAAAGTTTCAGCTCGGGATGAACAATGCTTTAATTTGTCTATGGATATCACTTGCGCTCGAAGTTTACAGGTTAATCTATTTCCTTTCTTTTTTGAATATTCTTTCTAACGTTTTGCAATAAAATAATGCTACGTAGTTCGACATATTGCAATATTCAGTCATTCAGTCGTAACATAAAACATAGTACCTATGTACATCGGTCCAAGTTGCCATATCCTCTTAACACAGCGAGATGAAATTGTGGGGACAAAATCCTAAATGGTGTAGGCAGTGACAGTATCGGTGATGATCGAAAAAATTAGGCATCAAACATACAATTCGAGAAAATATAAATTGCTGAGATAGGAAGACGCGTGGAATTCGGAAACCTAGAATTTGAGGAAAGGAAAGGAATGAATGCACCTTTGTCATTACAAATAGTTTTGGACCATCTCATTTAAATTCTTTGATCACCGGTTACGATGGTCAGGCAGCCTCCAACCACGCAATCTAACACCTATTAACAGGACTCCGTTTAAATGTAAATGACTTAATAGAGTGGTGTCATGTTCTGGTCTGACCGCCCCTGTCTTTCTTTCAGCCTACTCCTACACCAAACACCATCTCCCATCGAGCTAGACGGTGGTCGTGCATGTCCCAACCAACCTCTGCTGCAATATTGATCAAAATAATAATATTTGGGACAACCAGACTCATATACGGCGTCATTGACTTTGAATCCGTAGCATCGCTCATACACAGTGTAGAAACCTAACACATATACATAGGTCCAAGTTGCTGTACCACACCAGTCAATGTAGTATGAGCTATCACAGTATCAGTGGTAGTAGGAAAATTAGATATAGATAATATGTTTCGAAAAAAAGAATAAATTTATGGAGTAAAGAAAAGTATAAGATAATTTCGAAATCTAGAATGTAAGGAAATATAAAGAGTGAATGCATCCGCGCCATTACAACCTAAAGTCCGACCAATGGTTGCAATAATTTCATGGGCTCCTAACCAGCCCCTAATTCCCTTCCATCTTATCTCTGCATCGAGTAACATTGCTCATCAAAGTAAGCGATAATTAACCATATGTAATATACATTCCAACCACCTCAGTTACTGAACATTCACTACTTCATCAATCTACTTATCATCTTTAGCTAGTACGTTGTGCCTAACCTCAGTATTTCTCACTCGATGACCCCAATATACTAGAGTAATTCCTTAAAGGCATCTATAAACCTCAGTCTGTGCCCTATAAGGTCCACATAATAATTCATAGTGTAGAACTTTATGTGATTCAAAATCGATCAAGCTGATTTAGTTGCATTCGTTCTTTAACTTCCTCTAAATCACAAACTGCCATTTTGCGTTTTCATTCGTTCATTACGAACTATTCGCACTACTGTTGGTATTATTAATTTCATTTCGTTACTTTACGCTCCCTGTCGTGTTGCTGTTAGCGTGTAAGGTTTCGCAGTTTGTGTCGATAGACACTTGTCTCTAGTTCCACTTTGCTTAGTGCACACTGCCTTCATTGATGTCAAGGTGTTTGAATGCCAAGTTTTTCAGTAATTGGCTACCAACTAACTAGTTCGTAACCAATTCGAAATCAGCTCAACTGACTATGCACTAAACAACCAATCAATACGTGTGGTAAGATAACGGGTTTGTATTTTGTTGAGATAAGTTTCTTTGTTCATTTACTGGAATGGGAAGTGGCGGTGACCCAGTGTGGGTGTAAAAGTTCTCAACTTTCTGGGGATTCCAATCCCCTATTCATCTACTTCAGTTTATCTAATCGGGTACTATCATTATGCCTTAGATTTTTAATGTGTTCTAAATCCGAGGAAATGAGGTTGTATTTGCTAAGTTTCATAAATTGATTTTAGAATATACGTTCTCACTAATTACATCATTGATTCGTCCTTAATTCTTATATCATCTTCTACTTTTAAAACACCTAACTAGCCAAAACGTTCAAAAGCTGAATATTTCATTGTTTACTCTCATTAAAATAAATGTTTATTTGATACAATTCAGCTTTAACTTGTCAATGCTCTTAGATATGCAATAAATCTTTTTTTAAACCCAATGCTTGATTCTGCTGTGTTGCATTAATTTCTCTTTCTTGTTACCAATCAAAACCATATTAAACTTCTACCCCTCCTTTATCTCTTTTCAGCAATGTCTGTGTAATTATATTCGTAGTGAAGAGTTATCAGGTCAAAATGCATATAAATGTGAAAATTGTCATCAACTTCGACCAGCTATGAGAAAATGTACCATTTATCGAGCACCACCTATACTTATTATCCAGCTAAATAGGTAAGTAGTTGAATTCTGTTTTTTTTTCATTGTAAGTATTTATTGTCAGCTTTATTTACAATTGTATATGTAGCGATTTGACGTTTATCTGTTGCTTATCGAGTAATTCACTGTCTCCCGACATGTAGTTTTCTACAACTTCTTACTTTTCGTTAGTTATTCCATTGGAATAAAACTGGGAATTGCCTATCCATTTCTTACAAAATCCATATTGGTATTCAATAGTAGAGGATAAAATGTTAAAAATTAGTGAAAAAAATTATCTCACTAGTTTCATTACTCATGTTCAGTTCATTAAGTCGTCAATCAGTAACCTAATCTACATCACTTCCAACAGCTAATTAGTGTCTTTAACCTCCATCCAATAAGTTTCGTGCGAAATGTACCACATAAATCTTAATTTGCTTCTCAGTTATGATCAGTCGTCTTCTCTTTTGGTGTTGTCATTCTAATCAACCTCTTTAGCTAAACATTGGTCCCTATATTAGTAGGTTTCTTGTAAAATGTCTGGACAACCTATCTTTTTGTTATTGTTATTCAATCTATTTGGTGCTTAATTTAACCATTTCATCAATCGGTTATCAATAAAATAATCATCAGTTAACACTTTTGTATTGACTGCCATGGCGTAGAGTGATTAGATCACTTTGGACTAGTTAAGTCTTGGGTCCGAACACAACCCCACCTACTTTGATCAGCTTGTTCGAATTCTTAGCCCTCACACAACAGGTATAGCTTCTATTTTGGTACACAAACCTATATTTAGTAGACGAGTCTGTATTATTACTAGTGCCTCCCCTTATAATCCTCTCATATGACGAGATCCAAGTCGGCGAACACTGTTGCTTCCCTTTGACTTCTCATTAGCATAAGTTCAGTATATTTGAAATATTCTTATCTGCTAATATCTAATAACATATTCACTCTACCTGATGATAGATGTAGATCTATACTTCAACTTGTCAAATACAATATGAGTATAGTATAATGTTAGTCAATATGCTTTATTACATAGAATTACATTTAATATGACCAAATAAGTATACAACTATCCATGTCAAATAAGCAATTTACTTACATAATTAGAATGTATGGATATATATACACACTAGTCTCATGGAAAACTCAATTATAATCGCATTTTTGTGTATAAGACTAATCTCATTTATTTTCATTACGTTTTATACGTATTTAGAAATCATAGAATGGAAGTTTGTGGTCATTGAAAAATTAAACCTATACTCTGATATTATTATACATTCATTATCCTATTCATTAATAAAGAAATATATTTGTGTATACTAATATGTATACGTATAAATGTATAAATTTATATGTATATCTTATGAAGTGATGAAGTTTTGTATTGAAGAGATGAAATGCAAATCACAATCGAAAAACAATTCAATTATCCGCTCTGCAAAAAATAACATCGACTACCATCCATGATGTTCTACCTGTGTATACATATACATATATGGTGAGAAAACTTGAGTATACCTGTGTTTGTAAGCTACAATAATTTTTATTATGTAATAACTCCTCCTTTGTACCTTTTCTTCATCCTCCCCCCCCCGCCCAATGTCCATTACATCTCTTGTCTACTTCAACTGAGTTGATTTTTTTTCATGTTATATTCTTGGTTTAACCAAAAATATAATGGCTATCCTTAATTGGTTGTTCGACTAAATTAATACGAGAGTTAAATTAAGATCAGACTTAGTGTAAAGGAATTATAAATCTCATTAAATAGCAATGAATTTGACAGATCAGCTTAAGTTATTTTTTTCTAACATCTCACAGTCTTGTCTAAATATGTCTCTACATTGTGTCATCATCTTCTGCTAAGTCTATTACGTGTTTCTGTTTTAGTAACAATACTTCTATGGATTTGTTGTTCACCTTCTTGTGCTAATAAGATATAGCAACTTGAACCAATGCATATATATGTGCTTGGTCTTATGTTATAGCTGAATAACTTTTAGTTTTGCTTCATCATAACCAAATGTTATTCATAATGAGGTATGAATGTTATTCATATGTTCAATTGTTAATCAATGGTTGGAGACTCTTGGTGACATAGCTTAGAATCGATCACAATGGTATCAGTGTATACACTCCCTGTCTTCCTTTAAACTAAGATTAAAATCGCTTCATATCTTTCTTTCCAAGAACTAATTCTTTCTTCCTGAACTATATCCTTATTGCAATCTTTCTTTCATATATTGCCACCTCTGAATTAGCTACTTTTATAAATCCGGTGTCCATCTTGTTGTGTTAATGAGGTATGGCAACTTGGACCAATGCATATATGTGCCTAGTCCTACGTTGTAGCTGACTGAATGTTATTCATATGTTCAATTGTTAATCATTTCAAAAAAGTCTACATGTCAGAAACTATAAAATTAGTTATCTATTTTATGTAGTAGTATATTTCTAGTCTAAATTCTTACGTTCACCGAAAGAATACTAAGGTTAATGATTCTTTGTTTATTGAGTTATTATTATCACCCCTTCCATTGTTACTAATGAATAATTATAACAAGTAAATTTTTATTCTGAAATGTTTATTTTTATAGATTTTCACGTCATCAAAAACTTGATATACGTGTAGATTTTCCTTCATCATTTAATTTACGTCCATTTATGACACAATCAAAAGGTTTACCAATATTATATAAATTATATGCTATAGTTAATCATGAAGGATATAGTTGTCGTAGTGGACATTATGTATCATTTACTCTACGTCATGGTCAATGGTTATCACTTAATGATAGTTTTGTAAGTCCAAATTTATATTATATATATATATATATATATATATATATGCATATCATTAATGATGTTTACTGTCTTTCTTTAATATGAGAAATAATGCAACAGAATTTGTAATTGATTTTCTCTCTTTTAAGTATTCCAATTATAAGCGATTTATTTTTAGTATGATCGGAATGTGTTTCTCACTCATTGAATGATGATTATGATGTTTGGATTTTGATAATACACAGTGAAGTTAGTAAGTGTATTAATAACTTTATTTAACTAGGTAAGTAGTTGTATCCATCCTAGTACGTTAGTACATCATAGAAATAGATATCAATGGGAACGGTTGGTTAACATGACATGTATAAACTGCAATTTTATTAGTACTCAAGATAGTTTATAGTGTATGTAGGTCCAAATTAATTGTCATCTCATCAAATTTATGTGAGGGCCGTGATCCTGCACAGGTGCCCAAACCGAATTAGGTGGTTTTCTTAAGTGACCAAACCCCGAGGTCTGACCCACAAGGCGGTGGAGCATCGTGACGAGATGCAGTCCCATGGTAGCCGGTGACCAACAATTGGTTCATTCTGGAGGCCATATGCACCACTGGTTTGGAATCAGGGTTTCCGAACTCCTGTGGCGCACATACATTTGGTGCCCCTTTGTACCGATATTTATGTGTTCAAATAACTAATATAAATAATGTAGGTTCAATTATATTGTACTACCACTGCTATTTGAGCTCTTAATCTCAAGAAGCGAAGATAGATGGAGATGGCTAAAAATGTGGTTGGTCAACATCATTGAATTTATTGACTGTTCGTTTAAATCACTTTTGAAATTTCAAAGTCTTCACATATAACCTAGTTTATTGTATAAAAAACTACCTGGTAATAGTGCTGACTACATTAGTCCACTAAGTTTTACACTGTTCGATTACCACAGTTGGTTCAAATATTATCAGTATCCAATTAGCAAGGGTCTAATTGTTAATGTTACATCGTGTTATTAGTGTTTATTTTTATTTGTTATTTGTAGTGGTACTTCAGTTATGTGTTGTCTTATTTTACGATCTGTAGGTTTCAACAACAAATCCTGACCATGTTTTACGTCAGTCACCCTACCTACTGTTCTATGAAGCGGTAAGTTATGATACTTATACTTCTCATTCTTCTTTCGTTACCCATGTATATGTTGATTCATCGGTCTAAGCTCATTCATTTATCGAACTTAACTCCTACTGCTTAATTCTAGATAATTAAAAGTTATGATATTAACTACTCTTACATCCTTCTAGTTTTTGGCACTAGCTTTCGCTTGGTTACTGACTTTGTTCTCATCAACTGTATTATTTGTACTTAAACTGCATTTCTTACTTTCATGTATTGGTTACGTGAAATTGCAAACTGAAATTTCAACGTTATAATTCGTTCCAATTTCTTATAGACTACTTCATTAATTCTGTATAACTTATCTAAATATAGGTCTGTGTACCAGGTTTTAGTTTATATATTATGTCAAAACTGAAGTATCACAATAAAGTAAACAACGGGAAAATAATAATTGCTGAGAATAAATCAATTGAATTACAGAAATGGAATATGGGGAAGGTGTAGCAACATTTCTAAAGTAATTTTGATAGAAATTCATTCTCTGAGCTACATAATTTAGTCGCGGAGCTTTCATTTTTCTTTTAAACAATATCATCAGCACAAACCTCAGGTAAAAGTGTAAAGTAACTCGAAAATGTTTACTTCTCTCCTAAATTGACGTAAATGGTTCTACTTTCTCAATAACATTGAAAAGATCTCAATGAAGCTACTCAGTTCAAAAGACATCACCAAATAACCAAGATGAAGTTCAAACATGTAGTCTTTATCGCTAAAGAAACATAATAGTTGCTACAATCTCAGATCAACGATTATATAAAACTATATTTCTTACAACAATATCAAGCTGTATTGTTTGTTCACACCTCCAGATACACATTTCATTCTAAAAATTCAAGAATTTTTATCGAAGTTCTTTTTAATGCTCATATTAGATGTACTTTTCTTTGTGGATTATATTCATCTCAACACAGTCGTATCACTCTATTGTAACTACGGTGAATCAGGTTACTTGATTGGAAATGATTTATCATATGATTGTTCCGATTGTCTTCTGTGACTATGTTTTATTATCCTAAATCTATCATAACACGTATCTCTAATCGCTGCCTGCCAGATCAGTTCAAGAAATAATTTACTGTTGATCCAATCCATGTTGGTTGGTTCACACTATCTGACTGAATGACCACGTGATTATTGTAACCCCTGACAGGAGGACTTTAGGTGATATCGCTGAAAATCGGACACAATGACACGGATGTATTCACTCTTTTTTATCCCTTGCATTTTGAGTTTCGTAATCACCTTATACTTTTTCTTCACTCCATGAATTCATTTGTTCTTTTCGAAACTTATTGTATATGCCTAGTTTTTTCTACTACCACTGTTACTGTTACCTCTTCCACTACTTTGACGTATGTTTTGATAATTTCATCTGATTGTGGTAATATAGTCTGGCGACTCGGATCGATATATGTATGTGTCAAATTCTCCATTATATTTGACTGACTCTGTCTTAATCCGTTCCACTTTAAACTTCAGTCATATGATATAGATGTCAGGTTATTTTCACTCTAATCTGTAAGCGATAAATATTACTGTAAACACTCACTGTGTTTTTTGTTTGTTTGTAGGTTCGTAATTCAACTAACGGTACAGTTACTCGTACAGTGACTTCTAAGGAATCTTCACTCGACACTAATACTCCGAAGCTAAATAACTCCCAGTTACCTCTTGTTAATGATACAGTCAAACAACAACAGTCTATTACAAAACCTTATTTATCATCATCATCATCGTCTACACAGCCTAATCATCATAAATCTTTTAACATCATAAAACAAACAAATTTACCACCTGTTACCACATCATCTGTTATTTCTCAAAGTACTTCATTTACTAAGACACCAACAATTAATTCATTGTGTTGCAGTAATCCTACCACAAACACGGTATCATCCGTACCGAAAATTGTTTTTAATCCTAAACTTTCATTAAATAAAATAAACATCCTGCGTAAGTTCTCCACTTTATAAGTTTTCTGTACGTGATCTTTCTCTGAAAATTACTTTTTTTTCAATTTCTTTTGGCCTGTTCGGATAATAAATAGTGTTTTGATTATTATACCACCATAGATTTATGTGTTCAGTTATTGAAAATTACCAGACGTTTTCTTAAAAAAAGTTGTAATTCATTACTTTTGATATTTTCAGATATAAATCGACTAACATGTACGTAACATTTTGACTTCTAGCGTGATATACTTAGGTGACTACTTTAAATTTAGTAAGGTCAGTCAGTGGTCTTGAATGCTGTTGAAGGTATCAGGTCGTTTGTCAATTTCCGGTTATCCACACCGTAGAAGTGTTCTTCTCGAGGTACCTGAAAAGGTAATTGGGGTGGGGGTGATCTTAGTGACCTGAGGGCATGACCGCAGTGCTCATGGGACAACTACCTGAGACCGGTCACACACGATCTTTTCGTGAGTTTCCGTATTAGCTCCGTATCCCACGGAAATCCGTGGGATAAGGCGAGATGTGCATTTTTAGGATCGACCTTTTCCAACCCCACTCTTCCTTGTAGGAAGGCAGCATCGCTGATATGCTGGTTGTCTGAAGTTAACACTTTACTGCCGTCACACCTCTGTAAAATCAGCAGTACGACTTCGCCCTCGGACCTTGGGCTTACTGCTTTTAGTCTAACCGCTCTTCAACCGACCTGTCTGGCATGGTAGGACCTCGAGGAACCGTTGTTCCAGCTAATATAGCTCGATTGGTTCATCACGATAGACAAACCCAACCACCACGTCGAAGTATCAGCAATGGTCGGGATTTATGGAGCATATTTTAGCACAACATTTATTGAAACCCAGGATCTTCCTTACTGGACTTACCACCCAGTTTTTTCCTACTAAAATGGTCGGAGATGTAGTAAAGTAATTAATAGCAAAGTAGAATCCTGACTATTGCATGCTTAGATCAATGTGAAATCAAAATACACTGTTTGATCTTTCTGTCAACCAATTGCCGTTGTTAGATTAATCGAGATACTAAATGATTCTAATGCTTTTACTAATGTATCTACTTGTTATTCGACTTTATTGTAATATATATATATATATGCTGACTTTCAGTTTCTGTTCTGATCTAGGAAGAGTTGAGTGGGTTATCATGCATGGTCTCGGAATGCTAGACAGTAGTAGATAGTTTTCGGAAGTTTTGATTCACAGCGCATCATTTGTTTAAATTTTAGCGTATATTTTCCCTACATTTAATTATTATCATACACTTGGTTCCGCTTATTATCTTGAATAGAGCAAGAACAAAGAATTAAGCAGAATAGCATGAATTCAGTTTATTTCGTTAGGTCCTCATCAGTTGCCTAGAATCTGTATAATATTTTTATATCAACATTGTCTTACAAGTCGATGTACTTGTAAAAGTAAAAATCTATACGTATCATTATGGTAAAGTAATGAAATTGAACACTTAAAGAATGTTGTAAATAAATACAATATCTGAAAGAAGATTCTGGATCACCAGACATAGTTACAGGGTTGGAACTATTGATTGATTATGTAATGAAGTGGCTGGACGTAAATTAATGACTGTTAAGATCAGCCTAAGTTTAAAATGATTCAGTTAGAAATAAAATTATGAATTCAAAAGAACTGATGCAGCCGAAATAAACGGGAATAAATCACAAGAATAATGTAATTAACTGACAGTCAAATCACCATAATGACGAATGATTTGCAACTGTTTTTTTGGATACTTAAGTTGGGCTTGAAATGTTTAATGGCTACAGCTTCGGCGAATTAAGGAAGAATGGAATTCGACGGCTGATTAATGATTATGAAAGATTTCAGTATACCAGCCTGATGCCCTACCACAGAGATGTTTTACAATACTACTGCTGATAGCCTTTACTTCTATCAACCTGAAACTTTTGAGGATATGATCTTGAAATCGAACGTAGATCCTTCTTTCTTTCTTACCATTGTAACTGGTTTTACAGGTACATGTATATTTGTATGCTCATTTGGTGGTAACATGAAAAACGTACGCGTTATGACTTAAATCGCTGTACATCGTCAAGTGGAATTCATCATCATAACTAAAGTTGCATAACATGTGATCAGTTTACTTGAAATATGTAAAGATTCTCTGATTTTTATTATCTGTAAATAGATCGCTTTGTAATTATTGATTGTATTATATTAGAAATATGTCGCATAAGAACAAGCTTCACTATTTATAAAGTAAAGCACAATTATTATTTTGTACTTCACCCATAGGAAACGGGAAATTTTCTTCGGTAGGGAAGCTAATTTCTTCTCAATGCTACTGTTATAGACTTCTAAAGGCTCTTTTATTTGTTACATTCTTCACTATTATGCATTGGAAAACAAAACGCTCTCAGTATTCCAAACATGTTAAATTAATGTATTACTTTCTTATGTGTGGTACAATCTGTTTCTTGATCCTATTTATTCGATTAACTTGAATGTGAATTATTCTTTTACTATTTTACCAATTTATTTCCTAAGTGTTTGATGGTTCCTCTATATTTGGCCTACAAATATGAAATTATTATCTGTATATAATTCAATACTCTTCTTCCTGGGATTTTATTCATGTTCAATTGTATAAATCAGTCTATCGAAATGTTTGGTAAAACTTATGTAAAATCATATAATATTACTTGAGTAAGATGATATGTTAAGGATTAAAATCCTTTTGTTTCAGGTGTTATATTAACAACTATGAATGGATAGTAGTTACTGATTGTAGTCTGTCTCTTTTCGATAAGAATAATGACAATTACACACTCTAAATCGGGCTACCTGACTTATATTCGCTTTCTAATGATTATCTTACTCGAACATTGTCTATCTGTTTTAGCGTCCCAAACGGACATATGTGTACAATGAGTAGTGTATCATATTATTGCCTTTACATTATAGTGATAGAAAATTGCATTTGTTAATCTAACACTTGTGAATTTATTGTATAGTTTCATGTTTCAGGTTTTATTTATTTGGCCATTGCTTTCTTTTTTTTTCAGCCTCACCAATTGTTCCTTCTACATCGATATCAAATGGTCCCATTAATTCACTGTCTTTTACTTCGAAGAATAAAAATATTCAAGATATAGTAGAATGTGGTAAGAATCATCATTCAAATATTATATCAACAATACCTTCAGCCAGCAGTAGTACTAGTGGTACGACAACAACCATCTCTTTATCAGCGGCCACTGTCCGGGAGGTTAGATTTTATCTTTAGTTGTTTTGTATTGATTTTTCGTGTTTAGTAGTAATGTAACCACCTTTTTTAAGTGGATGTCTATAGGTTAAAATAACCGTTATCGATGGTTAGAGATGAGTGACATAGTCCACGATTGGTTTTAATGGTGCAAATGCACTTGCTCTGTCTTCCCTTCGATTCTGGTTTCCAAATTATCTTTTGTTTCCCATTCCACGCATCTGTTCTGCTCGAATCATACCATCTATGCCTAAATTTTTTCTGCTATTAATGTTACTATTCTTCGTGCTGCGACGTAGCAACTTAAACCAGTCCCCACATATGTACCAGGTTTCTCTTTGCTAATGACTAGCTTACTTCCACTTAGTACATTATCTTAAACTGGTTATAACGTTATAACTTCCAAATCTATTCAGAGAAAACCTAAATCAACTCAAGAAAGTCTCAATTGTCATAATTCTATGTTGATAAAGAGGATACTATGTGGTGAGTAGAAGAAGTCGAATTGATATGCTAATTAGTAAATCCCAGGATTGTTCAATTTGTACTCTGGTAGTCATGAGTAAACCAGCATTCAAGTCATAGAGCACACTTGACAATATTGTATTCTATAATTTCAGTTGGACACATAGTAATGTACAGATAAATCATCATTACATCACAATCAAATTATATTCAGCTTTCAATCAATCGGTTGCATGTTCAAACAATTCCGTCTGTCTTATTTCTATCAGCATTTTGGTAATACACGCCGTAGACATGAAGGAAAGTGTGACTTAATGCCGGTTACCATTACTTACTTACTTACTTACGCCTGTTACTCCTCGTGAAGGAGCATAGGCCGCTCACCACCATTCTCCATCCAACCCTGTCCTGGGCAATCCTTTCTAGCTCCGTCCAGTTGTAATTCATCGTTTTCATATCTGCTTCTATTATCCGACGCAATGTGTTCTTTGGCCTTCCTCTTTTTCGCTTCCCCTCAGGATTCCAAGTTAGGGCTTGCCTCGTGATGCAGTTTGACGATTTGCGTAATGTATGTCCTATCCATTTCCATCGTCTTTTCCTAATTTCCTCTTCAGCTGGAAGTTGCTTTGTTCTCTCCCACAGAAGGCTGTTGCTGATGGTATCCGGCCAATGGATGTTGAGTATCTTGCGAAGGCAGCTATTTATAAATACTTGTACTTTCTTGATTGTGGTTGTTGTAGTTCTCCAAGTTTCAGCTCCATACAGTAGAACTGCCTTGACGTTCGTATTGAAGATTCTCACTTTGATATTGGTTGAAAGTTGTTTTGAGTTCCATATGTTCTTCAATTGTAGGAATGCGACCCTTGCTTTACCGATCCTCGCCTTTACGTCTGCATCTGAGCCTCCTAGTTCATCGATGATGCTTCCCAGATATGTGAAGGATTCTACATCTTCCAGAGTTTCGCCATCAAGAGTGATTGGATTGCTGTTCTCCGCTTTGAATTTGAGGACCTTAGTTTTCCCTTTGTGTATGCTGAGGCCTACTGATGCAGAGACTGCTGCTACACTGGCTGTCTTCATCTGCATCTGTTCGTGTGTACGTGATAGGAGGGCTAGGTCATCTGCGAAGTCCAAATCGTCTAATTGATTCTGAGCCGTCCATTGTATTCCATGTTTTCCTTCAGATGTTGAGGTCTTCATAATCCAGTCGACCACCAGGAGAAAAAGGAAGGGAGAGAGTAAACAGCCTTGTCTGACTCCGGTCCTTACTTGGAATGCATCTGTCAGCTGTCCTCCATGCACTACTTTGCACTGTAGTCCGTCGTATGAGTTCCGGATTATATTGACAATCTTCTCAGGAATTCCGTAGTGTCGAAGAAGTTTCCATAACGTCCTCCTGTCTACACTGTCGAATGCCTTTTCATAATCAATGAAGTTGATGTATAATGATGAGTTCCACTCAACTGATTGTTCGACGATGATCCGTAGTGTTGCAATTTGGTCTGTGCACGACCGATCCTTACGGAATCCAGCTTGTTGATCTCGAAGTTGGGCGTCTACTGCATCCTTCATCCGGTTCAGCAACACTCTGTTGAAGACTTTCCATGGTATTGACAGTAGTGTTATGCCTCTGTAGTTTTCACATTTGCTCAGATCTCCTTTCTTTGGAATCTTGACGAGGTGTCCTTCTTTCCAGTCCATCGGCACTTGTTCCTCCTCCCAAATCTTTTTGAATAGAAGATAAAGCATGCTTGTGGTTGTTTCGATGTCTGATTTCAGTGCTTCAGCTGGTATGTTGTCGGGTCCTGCTGCTTTCCCGTTCTTGATTTGTCTGACGGCCATTCTAATTTCTTCCGTAGTTGGTGGATTGACATCTATAGGAAGATCTATGTGTGCTGCTTCGATGTCCGGTGGATTCATTGGAGCCGGCCTATTCAGGATTTCCTCGAAGTATTCTACCCATCTGTTACGTTGAAAACAACTTTCCTCGTCCGACCACCACAGTTCAGCATCGTTGAGCCCGGTCAGTACTTGGATGGGTAATCGGCTTTAAATTTTTGCCCTCTAACGCACTAGTACGCCCTAGAGTGGGGAGAGACAGCCCTCCTTCTCAAAATGCTCTCACGTGCATACAACCACTGCCATGGAAATCCTACTCACTGCCTTCTCGTGACAGAGGTGTTGTTTACGAAATTGAGAGGATGGAAAGCTAATGTCCGACTCTTTAATCCGGTTGGTGGATATGGAGGATCCACCTGGGAGAGGTGATTGGAAATCCCTGATTCCAAATCAATGGTGCACATGGGTTCCAGTATCCTGAGGGAACAAAAGGCATATGAACCTATTGTTGGTCACTGGCTACCATGGGACTGCATCACCTTACGTTGTTCCACTGCCTTGTGGATCAGACGTTTAGGTCGAAGACTTGAGGAGTAGCCTCTTAATGAAACCACGTGCGTCGATTTGGGTGTGTGTGTGTGTTACCTCAGCCGTCACACAAATCGAATGATTTAAGTGACTGATATCTGTTTTGTGCCTCCTTGTATCAATGTTTATGTGTTTAAATAAATAACTAGCTTAATGCCAAATACAAAGTATCTTTGCTCGGTTATTCAAGGACACCTAAGTGAATCAACTATCGAAATCCGTTATCTATAAAGTATTTCATGTTGAACAAAAACATCGGATTACTCCTATACAACTCCTTTGCTTTATCCATATTTTTGTGATAGCGTCACTACTGGATTGGACACTTTCTCGATTATTCCACTTCGGAAGACGTATACTGTCTTTTTGTTACCTAGTGGCATTGGTCACTACTCTGTGATAAGTCAGTTGTACGTACATCTCAGTCATACAGCAGGTCACTCTCAGCCCAAATAGAACCCTGGCAACGTCTCTTATGGTGAAACTAAGTGACACGGCATTAAATCTCGCAGGCAGCATCAGTTACCTCAAGATTGTAGGTGCACCTTGCTGAGTGTCAATTAGCATAAAACCTACACCCATAGCTTCTTGACAACTACATGCAACTACCTAAAATATTCATGTTTGTTCAACTCACTCAAATTTGATGCACACCGCTGAGAAGTCCCGTACTAGGACGAAACGGCCGTCCAGTGCTTCCAGATTTTAAATGGTGGTCTAACATCGATCGGTTCATGATCTCAGTAAGAATTCAACAATCTCCACAATTCTATACTGACAATGATCATGTGCTCACTGATGACCGACTTGGAGGGGTTAATTCTCAGAGTTCCAGTGTGGAGCTGTAACCAGTGGAGTTCAACCGTTTTGGGTGTGAGGCAGTTACCCACGGCTGTCCAGTGCTTCCAGCTTTTCAATGGTAGTCTAACATTGTTCGATTCATGATCCAAACTAAATCCGATCTAGCTGAATGATCTCTATTTTCTTATGTCGGATAATAAAAACCCGCCAATATGAGTGTGCACATTGATGTCTAATTATAAACTCAGTATTTAACAACTGTAAACCTTTATTGTTTCAAATTTGTATGAACAGAGTTTGTAATTAACGTTAAAAATGTATGTATACTATTCATGTGGATCCCCTCGGTATGATGTTATCAAGATAAATGTATTTTCTACTATTCGTATATTCTTAATATTAATTTTTTTTTCTTTTTTTGTACTTTAAGTTGCTCTATGGAAAAGAAACATCATCAAATTTATGGACTGAACGTCCAACACCAATAAACGAGTCTGTTTTATCATTGTCGTCGACTTCGTCATCATCTTCAACAATAACAACATTATCTCATTGTATTAAAAATCCGACTAGTGAACAATCATCAGTTACTCTTTGTAATAATTCAGATAATCTAACCACAATCAGTACAACAACGGTACAAACCACCTCATCTCAATTACCTTCAGTTAATACTGCAGGCTTAAAAGATAAACAACATGAATTGACAAATCCTTTAGTGGACTATTCTTATGAGGTAAATATTGACTACTTGTATCATATTTATATGTTTTGATTGTTCTCATTTTTTTTTAATTATAATTTTCTTAAGAGTCTAATTGAGTGTTTTAGCTTAATCTAAATTGAATAAGTGTCAGTCAATGAAATGGAGAATACTAACCCAATTAGAAAGTCGTAACATAATTCCAAGAAGCGATTATCATGCTCTTAGTCTAGAAACATCCTATTAACTGATATACAAAACAATAATCGATTTCGTGCAACCCTAATTATCCAACTTATATTAGAATTATGTAGCAATTATTCGAATATGTATGTATGCATTATCCCTATTTTGTTTTATCGAACTTCTTAAGTTTGAATACTTTTTTTAAACCTTTTTTCGTACCATAAACTGGTACACTAATGTTTGTGATTTCTTCCTACTTGGATATCCAGTATTTCCTTAAAGTTGATTCGAGATCGACCAAAGGAATAAATTTTTAATAATCTGTTTAAATTTTAAATAGCCCCCGTACAGATAAGTTGGGGACTTCAAAACCCTCTCCCTGATTGGTTGATTCTCAAAGACGTTAAAAATCAATAAATGCTCACACTTTTCCTTTTGTAGCACTTTCCGTTGGAGTTAAAGTAAATATATTGTTTACTCTTGTCTTCTTGATAGTTGAGAGTTGTCTCAATATTCATGATTACTGGTATAGGGCAATCCCGACTGAAGAATGTTTCTACGTTGCATCCACTATTACATTGATATTCCGAATCATGTAACTGAAAACGGATCATAACAATTCTTATTTTTATTTCACTGAGAGTTTATTAAATATTTTATATCTAGCTAACAACACTACTTTCCTTAAAACTATCATCTTCATACAACTTTCTCGCTTAGAACCAATTGACCACCTAGAATTATTGTTTTCAAAGATGCTTGTAATAAGGTTCTACATTCAATGACTGTAATTTAACAGTAAACTCTTCTGAAGAGCAGTTGTGCTCAGGATTCTACTTCAAGTTCTACAAAATTCATTCTGAATGAAATATTCTATATTCATGCTACCATAAATCCGCTTTGTCTAATGTATACTTTCGTATCCAAAACTTTATCTATAGGCTTTTGATGCTTTGCAGTTTGGTGTTATCGCTCTACAACTGACTACTCAGAGTTTACGGGAAGTAGACGTCACCACCCTATATTGCATTAGCGTTGTCATCATGATTATGAAAAGAATATTGCATTTTTACTAGTTCATTACTTAAGATAATCGATATACTACCATATGAGTCGAATAAGTAAATGCAGCTTTGCTAAGTAACATATGGTAGTTATTGACTTAACTAAATATCAGTAGATTCATGATTACGTACAATAGTTATGCATGCATTTTAATTAAGTCTTCGGGGTAATCAGTGAATAGTAAAATGTTGTAAGTAGTTAGTTTAGATATTTGTTATATAATTAATTGGTTATCCATTCTTAACTATTCAATAAGCAAAGATGGGTGCTGCCTAGCAGTGGAAACCAGGACACCTGCATCATCAACTCTGGGATGCAGATACATCCAGCTGAGTCCCAAATAGGATTCCACTTCGAACCACCATCCATCTTTGTTTATAATGCTTGTGAATTAAGGCCATATCGATGCAGTTTGCACAGGATGCACATGTGCCACTAAGAGACTGGTCAATTACAGTTTGAAAAAGTGATAAATAGTTATTGCCTCTCACGTAATAGTTTCTGCGTTGTAGTTTTCACTAGTTCTTTCCGATGTGTCCTTGTTCAATAAAATTACCATCCTGGATAATAGCCCAATCCATGACCATTTAACATTCTCTAAGACATTTTTTAATTGCATAGCTTTTATTGTCTTTCTGGACAGCATCATCAATGCTAATACTATTTGGTGGTGAAATTTTCAATTATTCCACAACAGTCATACTTGGTTGTAACTGGTTGTGTTCTTCGATTTCATTGTCTCCATTTATTCTCGTGCTCATGTTGATTGCCTTCTCTGGTTGAACTCTAGCCTTGTAGTTGTTTCATCGCTTCCATATGGGTTGATAGATTGGAGGTCCATGATTAATAAAACAGTAGCTTAGTATACAGGCTACGTGGTCACCAATTCTGGAACATAATAAACACCGTTTATTTACTATTCGTCACTAACAATTTTCATTCCTTTCACTTTTAAGGAATCGGACAGTGATAAAAATGGTTCACCACCTCCTCACAAGCGAAGTCGAACAACATACAGTGGCTCTGACTCTGGCATTGTTTGGGTTCCCGGCAATCATAATGAAAAATCCAAAAAGCATCATACTTATAAATCTTCACCAGATGAACATAAACGTCATAAGAAAAAGCATAAAAGTCGTCATTCATCTAAACACAGTTCTTCTCATCATAATTCATGGAATGGTTCCGACGATAACCATCACCATCATAATCATCGTAATCGGGAGCTCGATCGTAGCAGTAGTCTGCCTCGTCCTTCTTCTCATCATCATCATGACAAGCATCGTCGCCGTCATCATCATAAAAAATATCGACAAGAGTCACCTGATTCCAAAAATCACCGCTTCCATTCACATCATAAACACTACAAACAATCTCATAGTCATGAAAATGGATACAGGTAAAAAAAAGAAAGAAATCCCATTGTTTAACCTGCTGCTTCTACATCAAACAATTATATTTTTGCATGCATTCTTACACTGATGGAATCTGTACTTCAATCTCTTTCTATCCTTAATACATATGATAAACACATTGTCTTGAATTGGCCTACCATATCTGCAAAGAAAAATTATTTTTTCAAATGACAATGCAAAATGAATTCATTAACAAAGATCAGTATTTGTCTATAACCTGGTGTGTATTGCTTATGAAGTCACCTTTCTATTTCTTCATTATCCAAGCTTGTTTTTCTTTAGTTATTTTATAGTTTCTCACTTTTGTATTTAAATTAGGTCTAATAATCCAAACATAAAAATGTACAGTTATGTTCTTCTTTTTTCTCTTCTATAAACTATCATGTTATCAACGAATGACGATTACACAACCAATTCATCCATATGATATAACATTGCATACATTATTTAAGCCTATAAAAATTGAAGAAGAAAACAAAAGAGAAAGACAGAGATACATTGTAATTTATTATTTCCTAAAATCCTATCAAATTTTAAATGAGGATTATATATAAAAAGTGGTTTTACTGCTCCATTAATTAACGTTCTGTATTATTGTCTTTAATGTTATTAATTCTTTTCTTTTTTTACTTGTTTACTTTAAAGTGATGTCGACTACGCTTTTTCACTGTGTTTTTTTTCTGTACGTAGCTATAAAAGTTTTCAAAGAAGAATTTTGTTTTGGGTCTCTAGTCTGTTTGATTGTTTGTTTGTTTGTTGAAGAAATTGATAATCTCATAAACAACAAAATCTGTTGAAAGAAAAGTTCATAATCAATGAGAGAGCCTGTTTCAAATATCCATTTGACCTTAATACGGCTGAGAGTGGGAAGAGTCAGCTCTCCCTCTCGAAACGCTCTCACATGGTCACGTGCATACAACCACTGCCATGGAAGTCCTACTCACTGCCTTCTCGTGACAGAGGTGTTGTTTACGAAATTGAGAGGATAAAAAGCGAATATCTGGCGCTTTAATCCGGTTGGTGGATATGGAGGATCCACCTGGGAGAGGTGATTGGAAATCCCTGATTCCAAATCAATGGTGCACATGGGTTCCAGTATCCTGAGGGAACAAAAGGCATATGAACCTATTGTTGGTCACTGGCTACCATGGGACTGCATCACCTTACGTTGTTCCACTGCCTTGTGGATCAGACGTTTAGGTCGAAGACTTGAGGAGTAGCCCCTTAATGAAACCACGTGCGTCGATTTGGGTGTGTGTGTGTGTTACCTCAGCCGTCACACAAATCGAATGATTTATGTGGCTGATATCTGTTTTGTGCTTCCTTGTATCAATGTTTATGCGTTTAAATAAATACATTTGGTTCAATTCCCCATTACTGCGTTAGTACGACAAAATGAAACTGATAAGTTGGATAGAAAAGCAACTGAAGTAATTTGGTCGCAGTGATTATTAAAAAGACTAAGTACTGAGAATATAGTTCGAAGCAAAACTTTGTGGAAAGGTATGTATTCATAAATACTGGGACTCTAGATCTATGGTATAACATATTGAATGTATTCGCTCCATTGTGACTGATTCTGAGACATGTCACACAACATCCCTAACCAATTATCGCACGGTTGTCTTCATCAAAGAACGTGGCTCACATTAACAATTTGTGATTTCAGTGACATATAAAGGGAGTCGTTTTAAAGAGATTTCAGCGTTTAACTAGCTGCTTGAAAACTTGACAAGAATGAAAATCGTACACAGGATTAAAATGATTTATTCTGGTAGCATACTTACATTCCCAGTATCATACATTCAGATCCTTCAGAATATAATCAAGCCTGACACCGCTGCTAGTTCCCGGTAATGTAGAGAGACGGTTAAAGACCGTCATTCAGCTTAATTTGCTTTTGTACATAGCTTTAATTATGCATATACTACCTTTAGAACTTCTCTTGCAAACAGTTCTACAAATCCTTGCTTTTTGAAAAAGACGAAAGCAGCTTATCGAAATAATCTGGGCTATTACTCTGTGTGGAGATGTCCAAACATCTATGAAAAATTATTGTAGCCCGGATCAGAAGAGAATTTATTATATTTTAAATCAGATACCATTTGAACCAAAACCTGTAAATTAGCTCCGACACCACTGTCATTGGGTTGAATTTGGTGATTGAATTTTCGATCATTAGGATGAAACAGAATGCTTATCGATAGATAAAATGCAATGATACGATACGAAAGAGTAAAAACAGTCCATGAGAATGAATTATTGATGTAAGCAGCCATATAATTCCAGACTGAAGACAAGACCAGGAAATAGACTTTTCCTAATAGGACTTAAACTTAGCCTTTGCATTTCAAAAATTCATTAGATAGCCTTCATCTGCTTAAGTAACCATAGCAACTTGACTGCTTCAATTTTAGTGAGAATCCAAAGAGTTCGACCAATATGTCCTTTCTTTCTAAACTTCATAGATTTCTGTTATTACATAGTGCTCGGACAGAAGCAGTAACTAACATTACCGTTAGCCCTATGATAATGTTTATCTCAACTTTTGATAGGTTATCAACAGCTTGTTCTGTATTTTAATGTTACTGACTTAGGTCAGTCTTCACAGAACTCCTTATATCAATTGTCCTTGGTTTACATTAACCACTATTGCTTACGTTCGTAATTCATATGAAACCTACTTTGACACCTCTTTGTTCCCAGATCCAATCGTAATGAATCATCACAACTCTAATAGGTATTTTTAACCAAATAAGCATTTTTAGCAATTTCTCATTTACATTTCAACTGTTATAATCCATAGAAATACAGTACATATGTATAGACACTTATAGTCTATTCGGACTGATATTCGTGTAAGCTAAATGTGGAATTTTTTGGTTTACATGATGAATGAATCATCAATAAAGGGTTGTTCAAGTAAAATGGAGACATACCAACTATAACATGAGTAATGAAAATAAAAAAGTACACATAAGGACAACATATTTTATACACATCGTTCCCTTTAACATCTTTGTTCTTGCTCTCATCAAAACTTTATATTTATTTACCCGATGTGAAAAGGACAGAATATGACCCGGTAGTAAATGAAGGTCAACGGAAGGCCAAAAAATAATTATTGCATGTATATGTTTGGTTGATGAATTTTAATCATTATTCCTTTATGCTTTGTAAATAGTGTTGTGCAAAACCTTGAATACGTCAATGGATCCCTATTGATGTTAGTGACAGTCAATCTCTTACTATGTTTGTTAATTGCCAATACCAAACTTATTGGTTCAAATCATTACATTATCCAATTTATGCTTTAGAAAACGATGATGGCTTTGATAAACCAAAATAATCGTACATTTTGTTTCCCAGTTATCTATAAGCAAAATGTTTAGAGTGTGCAAACCAACCACCGGAGTTATGGTTACAAAGACTCATTTTACTGTTTTAATAAATTTTTAAGTAATTATTCCTTTTTACATACTTTATACTGTCCTGATTTGTCCTCTCATTGAGAAAGCACATGATCACAAATGAGATTTAAACAGTGAATCCAAGACTACTTGTAGATTTCCTATGATTCTCTATAGTGACTATCGGAAAGAATGGTGTTAATTTGTTTGTATTGTTACCTTAATATCGGCATTGTCGAAATTACCACTGCTGGGGAAGAATTCACCATCAGGGTAAAATTATTATCATATGTTCTCCAGTGTGTGAATCAAATGTAGACTACACTTAATTGTTTTGAAATAATAAAGCTAGAGAACGATTATTAACTTGATAGATTTTTATTCTCTTAGTTGGGTCGTTTGGTCGTGGAGATTTCGTCGTTCTTCTGAACGACATCATCAACACAAACTGCAGGTAGAAGTGAAGTGATCGAATTTCTCCACATTTAGTTCACAGCTTGTCATGTAGATCTCGATGTTGATTGGTTCTTGTTGACCGAAAATCTTCAGGACAAGCTGTGAACCACATGTGGAGAAATTCGAACATTTCAATTCTACTTGAAGTTTGTGCCGATGATGTCGTTCAGAAGAACGATGAAAGCTCCATGACCATACAATTCAGTTCAGATAACTAAACTCTATCAAAATCATCCAGCTGAGCTACAAATCTTCTCCACCATCTCAACAATTATTAACTAAAACTTCTGTATTATGGCGCAATATTACTGGTATACATCGAATACTCACTGATTCAATGTCATCTACAGACCACTTTATCTGTACAACTCATTTTTACGACAAAATTGACCTAACTTTTATTGATGAGTGTTTTATAATAGATTGTTGTATGATCAGATACTGATTTGATATTTGCTTACCTTAAACTTCTCTTATAATCAGCATATTCTTTACTGGTATTCTATGGACAATAATAATAACCGATATTATCAATAGTATTTTTCTAATTTGTTTTCCAAGCACTATTACAAGGTCAAGGACATGCATATGTATATTTAGATTAAGTAAGAAACATCCAAATGATGATTAGTTTGTTGTGTTTATATAACTACAAAGAACGTTTGATTCTTATTGATGAATAATTCTGATTGACGTTCTCTCTTAGTGGAGTACATGCATATCTAGAGTGAAACCATCATCACGCAGTATCTTAAATGGATTGAATTTGGAAATGGGCACCTACCAAATGGTTATAATGGTAAAGTCCTTGTTATCTAATTATCTCTGCTCCTCAGTAATACTCCAACTCAAATTAATTTCGGTTAAATAGCTTCTACAGAACACCAATATAAAGATCCATTTCTCTATACAAATCGCTTGCTCATATGAATTCATTCAATAACAATGCGTTTAATGTATCATAAATAAATTCAATGGGTCACTATTCTGGTAGTTAAGGGTTATATTATTAATTAATTCAACGTGATAATCTGTTCATTCTAATAATCGATTTCATTTTAACAAATTTGTTAATTATTTCAGTATAATTCTCCTTATTGTAGTCAGTTAGTTACTATATCTGCTCAATATAAAAATACGTCATTATTATTAAAAGATACTTAATAATCACTGAATAGAACCTTCATTTATAAAGAATAATATCCTCTCATAAAGCCTATATATTCTTCGTAACCATAAACTAAACTTGTCTTCCTTGAACTTTCTAATAGCTGGGATCTAGATCAAAAGTATTATTAAGGGTATCGGTGGCTAGCAGTGGAATGCGCTTTTCGTAGTAATTGGAATTCGTCAGTTAGATGTACCGCCGTTCCGGAATTCATACTCCGTGACTCGAGGTAAACCTCACTGGATGCACATATGCCAATAAGAATCTGATCAATTGCAGTCATAAACATTAATGGGAAAATTCAAACAAATAATACAAAATGGATTTAAACTTCAACCCATTGCGCAATCAATTGGCTATCAGGACTCATTAGGTAAGTGGATAACGCGATTTAAAACGTTTGGAGTGAGGGGTACTGGGTTACAGTCACGGAGTGAACATCAACTCTCGGATGCATGTACATCCAACTGACGAGTTCCACTTAGGACGGAATGCGCATTCTGGATTCCACTGCTAGCCACATAATGTATGGTCAACCGAAAAAGTTATCTCGATGACTATTTGGATAGATTGGTCTATTGTAAGAGTATACACAAAATAATAATGTCATCAATTAATCCCATTGGTCGTTAAATATGAAAACAGATTGATACTAGTCTGTTTACTCGGA